GAGCCCATGGACGCGAAAGCAATCCTTCATACCTCGGGGTTTTCACTTTCTTCGATCTAACCTTAGATGCATAGGTAGCTGCACTGTCTCTTGGGTTCTATTCGATCCAAACCCTTGCAGTAATTATCTATCCAATCGACAATTACCATAGGCGGCCTCCGCCCTTGGCTCTCACAAACAATCATACTGCCTTTATTATCGCACAAATGCGGATACTGTGTCCAAGACATCGAGGTCTCATTCAACTTCAGCTTTCAGCCTCAGAGGCGCAACTAGGTTGAGTCTAGCTAAACAGCCTTGTCATCAGCTACCGGAGATTTCCATAATACGTACTTGCGTTCTTGTTGGCAAAGCTGAAAGGGGCCTTTTCCTCTCCCCTCTTGTCTGTGCTTAAGGGAAGCACTGAGGGCAGTGGGGAGAAAGAGCGTGAGGTTTGTCACGCTCAAGGTACAGCAGATGTTGCGCAGCTGAGTTGCGTTGTTGTCGATGCTGTAATGCAACCCTACACAATGCGTCTTTTTGTGAATCCTCCCTCTCTCCCGCTGTTGCGGTACCTGTCTTACTGGCGGCATGTTACCTCTGTCGCATTCGTTTATGTACGAGCCAGGCTTGGCTTTTGGGTCCTTAGTGAATTGACCGATGCAAGCCACAAGAAGTGCATGCATGACCAGTTGTCTTGAATGGTGGTCTGTCGGCGGCTGTCTGTAGACCCTTGGTTTATCGACGGCCTTGTCAGGCTACAGTATAAATAGAACAGATCTGACCAATCACTGCATCTTCCATGTAGGTCCCGTACTGCCAGTCTTTGCGCAATGGTATCTGTAACGGGCTCTAGCGTCGACACCTCATCCAGTTGTATCACTCTCAACCTGAGCAGAGAATAACAACAGAACACACTTTCGGTCGGTAGCATTCTTCGGTTGCTTTGGGGTAGTTTTGGCACCCGGTTCGTGATTAGCGATTCATCAACTAACTTGTACAATAGTGAATTTTTTGCAAGTCTGGATAACCTCAAAACTTGGTGCGCGGAATTAAGATATACATGTCGTATATAACCCCATACCCTATAGTTATTTATGCCCAGTATGCGATTTGGTATCAAAACAATTCCACGTACAAAGTAAACACTGTCATATAGACACGAGGGTTGCCGTGACAAAACTTCGCATATGAGTATCGCGCATGATCTTATGCATCGGTTACAATGCGCTACACCAGTGCAAGACTCACTGTCTGTCTGCCTGCGTGTTGATGTGCATAGTGGGCAAATTTGAACCTAACTTGAAACTTGAACACAGCACCGAATTTACGCAGCATCTCACCAGAAGAGTAGATAATATATCGTTGGAATACGAGACTATGCTTCAAGGAAATCGTATCTGGAAAAAAGAGAATGCCGAACGAAGTTGACGTGGACATTCATACTGACTTAGATCGTTCCAAAATTGAACAGGGCGAGCTACGCGGTAAACCAACTTGATCTAAAACAAGAATTTGTATTCAGAAAATGAGAACTTGATTCACACATGCAAACACACCCTCTATTGTAAGCTCGTGGTAATACTGAACCTGCCCATAGGTCTTTGATCCCAAAACTTCCAGTCTATGCAAAACAAAAATCAATACGCTTCTATCGCTATGCGAACAGAACCACTAAGAAACTCGGTCATATATCCCATGCGCACATCTAGAACATGAGGTATGCTGACATCAATGCAGCTAGCAAAGCTGTCATAGACGCAGCTTGGTATGTACGTGGAGCCAGGCTCACGGTACCGCAACAACTGTCACGGTTGTATGTCACGTTATTCATCTGCGCAGCAACCTCAAAGACAGAGCCGGGAAAGCCGCCGTAATTGTAATAGTCCACGTTGAGAATATTGGGAGCCCGGCCCCAATCAGAGCGGCAGTTGTTGGCCGCAACACCCAGACTGCCATAGCCCGTGACGTTATTAGTCTCATTGAGTAGTGCCACGGCGGGGACCAGAATTTCGGCACCAAAGACGTTGAACTCGGCGTTGAGGTTGTGGTTCATGAGGTACAGGCGGTTCTTGGCTGATTTCTCGCTCAGGTCGGGAGGACGCTGGACAGTGCAGGGAAATTTGCGATCCAGGGGATCAAAAGGAGTCTCCCACATCTGTGTGAACTCGTCGAGAAGCCAGGGGTACTTCTTCTGGTCCGACACGTAGTCGATGAACATGATGACTCGCTTGCCACGAATGATCAGGTCTTCCAGAGTGGGCCAGTCTTCGAGGGCCATGGGGAGGTAAGGCGCCTGGTAGACATACTTCAAAATGCCAGTCTCTCTGATGTACGGCACGTAAAGATCGGGATGAGAGTAATTTCCATTTCCAAGAAGAATAGTGACAACATCGTATGGGTGGTTGTCAACCCACTTTCGTACTCTGGTTAGCCAGTCGGTGATGGGACCTGCATCAAGAAGATCACAGGTCGAATGGCAAAAGTGTGGCACTGATGAGTTGCTAGGGAACTGGATCTGGGCCTGAAGGAAGCGAATGCCATCATTGAGTTGTGTCTCAACCTCAAGCTCCTGGTTAGAACCAGAGTTACCCGGTCTTACGAAGGGTGAGTTGTGGCAGCCAACCATCGTGATATTGCCGTACTTGCGCTTACAGAGCTCGACATAATTGTTACAGGGCTGTGTGTTTGTAGGTTTTGATTTCGTCGTGGTAGTCGAAGTACCATTTGCTGTGGCGGTTCCCGTGCCAGTCTCTGTCAGGTTGCTGGTAATGGTAGTGCTATCTGTGACATCTGTGGGGAAAAGGCCCGTGAGGGTGCTCGTCAGTTGGTCCGACTCGGTGTCGCTGGAGCCCTGCAGTGTGATCTTGGAGGCATAGGAAGAATATGCGCCTGTGGGAGGACCGGTTTGTCGTGTAATTTTCTGTGTTCGTGTACCTCCAATGAAAGTGAGATCCGAAGACGCTGATAGATCGACTGTCTGAGCTGCCACTTGACTGGAAGTCAAAGCCAGAGCCGCAAGTACTGAGCTCCAGAACTTCATGGCGGAAAACTGTTCCTGAAAGAATTTGTGACAGGAGAGAATGTCTCTGGTAAGGCGCAGGATAAGTTGGAAGGGCGATAGGAGGGAGCTCGCTAGTCGCAACAAGCTTTACAACTGGAGCTCAAGGTCCACCTATTTCAAGCCGGGCCCGCGTCGATTTAAAGTGGTACAAGATCAAGGGAGTTCCAGTAAGCAAAGCAGGCCGAAGAAAGAAGAAACAAAACCGAGTTTTGCTCTTGATGAGGTAGAACAAGATCCAGCCTAGCGCGATCTGCGACGACTTGCGCAGTCCTGCCTTTGATCCCTGCTTGAGAAACACCAGACCAGCATCAAGAGAGCCCACTTTTGAGAACAACGACAGATCGGCGAGATGAGGTGGGTATGAGTATGATGCGTATTGTACGAAGAGTAACCTCAAGTACCTAGTCACTGTAGAGACCAGTGGAAGGATGTGATACGTGTGGGCGTGGCGGTTGGGAAGCCTCTTTTTTTGCACCGCCTTGCTTGGCTTCTTAGTCAAGACTCAAGAGCACCTATCCCAATCTTAGACGAGATTACAAATAAAAAGAGATCAAAATGAAGGACCCAAGGAGAAAAGGAGAGCGACTGCGTGATAGTTGCTTTGTCGCGACTTGGCAAAGACAGCAAAAATAAAACTAAAAATACTGAACAAATTGGCTCAGGTTAGTAGATTGTTAGTGCTTTCTTTGATGATGCGGCCTCACCCGCTGTGACATAATGACAATGTGTCTATGAATAAACAGTTAGTCCTCACCCTCTTAGCGGTAATAACGGCAGGAATTGACAGTGTCAATTGGCCAATGTTGAGCCGCAAAAATAAACGCACAAGTCATGTTGAGTTTCTGACTGTTTCCGTAGCGCTAAGAAAGTTGTCAAATACCCATACAGCGCTTGTTGTTCACGAAATTTTGCTGGATGGTGTTGAAACGCGTCATCATATTGGGCCGCAGCTAAGACCCAGCCGGTAACGCGGCACATCACTTCCTTTTCTTCACCTGAGGCTCGGTAGTTTGGAGCTAGAGGAGAAATGGATTGGATTGGATACCAGAAGACAAAAGCGAAAGCCAAGCACCAATAACCTATGATAGTGGCATGGCACCTCATATTTTTCTTGCAAGTCGTAAATCCAAAAACTTTTCTTAGGCGCCTATTCGAAATGACTTTATGACCTGCTCTTTAATATTTACTATACTTAGGCTTTTACCGACTGTGTGTATCATAATACGGGCGGCTGTCCAGGTTCTTCATCCAGCTGCAATAGACAAATAGAGATCCATTCGCTCAGCTTTCCCAGGTTCTGATGCCCCCTTACCCACGGACCCTAGGTAGGTATGTATAAGCCTTCCCTTTGCCGCTGCATTGTCGCTCCCTTAGCCTCCCTAAACTCCCCAGGGGTGCTGTATTGCAGGGGAAGCTCTCCACTGATGGAGGTGGTCTATCCCTTTTAGGTCAAGGTTTCGGAAAGGCCCACGACCCTTTTGGCCATGGATTTGGATGGATCCATGTCGTCTGGCAAGATCCTTGGAATTGGGATTTTCACTTCATCATGACGATTGCTCCACTATCTCTTTGAAAGCTGTCGCGCCTTGCTCGCTCTCCACGAACCTTGCAGCAGCTGGCGTTGACCATTTGGCTGGCCCACTTCGCAACGCATTTCTCTACTGCATACTCCGTACAACTTCTTCATCATCCTGTCGCTACCTTTCTTTTGTTCTCCAGATTACGAAGCCTTTCGTAACCCCGTTTGTTTCTTATGTTCTGTTTGTGGACTGTGTTGACATTCAACCGCACACCACTCCGTGATTATCCTTTCCTTTCATCTTTCTTGTTCTGTCCGTTATTTGTTTCATCGCTGGTATCTTGCAGCACAGCACGCAGTTAGAAGGCATCACCAACAAACGAAAAAGCCCTTTGGAAGCTCACTTCGATACCGCAGTGCCTACTTAGGTACCTTACCATGGCGAACGTGCATAGGCGAAACACAGCCTTCGTTGCTAGCACGCTATACTTTCTATCGATACCCTTCTTGATTCTCGTCATAATCGGCAATACCCATATCAATTCGACATTGAACGACATATACTTCTTTAAGCTTGATGTTTCTCAAGTTATACCGATCTCGGTCGATAATTCGAGGCTGCTTAATTCTGTTGCTCGAAGTTTAGGTCTGCATGACTTCTACCAGGTTGGACTATGGAACTTTTGCGAGGGTTACAATGATGAGTATGTTTCCAAGTATCACATGTAGTATACGATAGCTAACAACACAACTCAGGGGCGTTACCTATTGTTCTAACCCCAAACAATGGTACTGGTTCAACCCTGTCGAGATTCTCGTGAGCGAACTGCTCGCCGGAGCTCGGATTGCACTTCCTTCTGAGGCCGTCACTGTCCTCAACTTGCTCAAGATAGGCTCTAGAATCATGTATGGGTGTTTCATGGCCGGTATATGCATCGACTTTGTCCTTATCCCCCTAAGCCTCCTCGTTATTCGCACCCGTTGGTGGAGTTTGGTTATAACGATTCTCGCTTTCTGTACAGCAGTTCTTATTTCGCTAGGAGCTATCATTGCAACTGTCATAAGTGTTGCTGCTAAGGTCGCACTCACGGCGCAGGATCAGCTCAATATCAAGGCGAACATTGGCATCAAGATGTTTGTCTTCATGTGGCTGGCTGCCATCTTCACCGATGTGGCATTCCTGCTACATGCTGCCATGAGTTGCTGTTGTAGTCCAAATAGGGATAAGCCACAGAGTCCCCTACCAGAGATGAGGGCAGCGCACCCAAGCCTTCGTCATCGTAGAGGGCATAGGTCTTCATCACATTCGTCATAGGACGTTATGCGGATCTAGCTTCAGTTTCGAGGCCCTGCTGATGAACAAATTTGGCGTGGAAAGAACACCTTTGGCCCAGAATTCCAAGATGGTCCTGAAGCTAGACCTCTTGAAGTTCTGGGACCCGGACATGAAATCAAAAGCCGCGATAACGAGGATTGCGCGCTCATTTAGACTGTTTGGCTCATTGCATTACACAGAGCAGGGAATAATTGCTTAAAGCATGCTCAATTCAGGTGTTTTTCGCCTTGAGTACAAGGGATGCATAGTACATAGGATTTCACGGTATAGACGGGCGAGCGAGGTCAGGGAACAGGCCATCTCAAATGACTGTGTCGGGCTGTTTCCCACGCAGATGACATTCTTCCACGGCGTTAAGGCTCAAATAATAGAATATATACTGGAGAAAACATAGCATCGTAGTAATCGTTTCTGGATACAACTGATCCTTTTATCATGTCAGGATCTCTATTTCAATACTTCATGGCCTCAACTGTTAACACTATCTTGAGCTCGAGACACTCAACTTCGAGTTATCATTATGATCATGTTTCAGCACGAAGTGTACAAACAAATGGCCATATATCGTACACCTGATTATGAATTTTGATACAATCATTGGAAGAACAGGCCTTTACTTGTTGAGCGTTCTGCTAGCACACTTACTCGTCCAAGAAGCATCAATGATTTCGCATGACTAGAAGAAAGTCGACAATGACTGCCACACCGTTGGCCAATATTTCAGTCTTGATGGTCGTGGCCTTGGCCATACACGGTCTAACCAGAACTATACGACATGCTCAAAGCTCGAGGTCTTATCGACATCCTTGAAAGGGGCGTCGATGGCATTGACTTCAGAATACTTCTTGGTTTGAAGAGAAATCCACACCCACAAGATGAAACTTGTTCAAGAACCTGAATCTCTCGCAGAGATGATGCTGGGGCGATGGGCAACTATTGCAGAAGGGCCTTTGAGCGACTGCGCATAGACTGAGGACGAAAGACGTCACTAGAATCATGGCAGAAGGGCCAATGAAGGGGAAGGAGAGGGATGCCCGACCTGAGCCTATGATTCTGTCTAAGACTGGTAGGCAATGACAAATTGAAGCTCTAGGATAGCCAAGAGCTTACCACGCGCAAGATGTTGCATTACAACCACTACTATCCTAGCAAGGGTATATGGGGTGTCAAGATACACGAGAAGATTGAAGAAACGGCTTTCGAGGCCAATGGGAGAATTGGCAAATCAGAAGGGGTATCATAGAGAAGACATAATTGTCACTTGTCCTACACTCCATGATGGGTCCAGAATACGCAGAAAGAGGCGTGGATAATAGCGACAAATGGTAAATTGAGCTCAAGACATGTCCTTCAAAGTTGAGAATTTCGAACAACAGGATGAAGAGATAACCAGGGGCGGAAGACGGAATCGGGGGGTTAGGAGACCCTCATCAACTGGTGTTTAACCACATCCAGTTATCATTTGATAGGCTATCTAATGCATACAAAGTAATACGCCGCATCTTCATCTACCGTAACCCTTGCGAGCAGCATTATTGCCAACTATGGATGAATATGTCGCGTCTAGTGATGAGACGGTGAACTATGTATGGCTGCTTTTTAGAATAATATGCTCATACTGCTGACCATAGATTATGGCCATGTGAACATGCCTGTTTCTGAGCGATCGACTTAGGCAGTTGGTGTGATGCCCGTCATGAGGTCCTCATCTTCTATTAGAGAATCGAAGCCCACTCCAGGATCTGCAGGGTCCTTGTCTGCCCGCTTCTGTTCCCTGACAGCGTGCTTCACGTACTCCTTGCTATTACCCAGCCGTTCATTGGCTGCCTTGTACTGGTTTCCAAGACTTTCGATGTTATGGTAACACTGAGCAATCTGCTGGGCAAAGTTTGCCTCTGTCATCGCCTCATTGTCATCGTGGAAGTGCAGATAGAGTTCCCCACCATTGTTGCCCGGCTGCAGCTCGCCTTTTAGTAGACCGGAATGAATCATATCTTGAACTAAGCGTGTGGCAGCATCGTCATCTGTGAGAATTTCGCCTGTCTCGGCACTGAGGGTCGAGAGACGCACTTGAGAAATGGACATCCGCACATATATGTCGCGGAGGTTGATGATTTGCCACTTTGGGTATGCCGCCACTACCTCGGCAATCAACGATGAGGTGCCGTCTTCCTCCCAAACCTGCTGGTTAGCCTCAATATCCGCTTTGAGCTGCGCTGCATTCGTTGTTGTGAACCAAGTGGTGATATTCTTGTATGGCGTACTTAGTGTGGTGAAGGTATTCTTGGCTATCGTGGCAGTGTATGGTGGAATACTTGGCTCTTTTCCATCTTTGAGTAGCCCGACCAGCAACCATCGTTTGTACGCTTCATCCATGACCTTGCTGACGCCTTTGTCTTTTGCTGGGTGTGTAATGACGCGCTCCAGAGCTCGGTAGGCTTTGGTCCAGTCTCGTCGTGACATGTAGCATTGAGCCGCAAGGTGATTATACTCCAAGACGGCAGAGCTCTTCACATCGCCAGTAAGACCTGTGTCAACTGAAATGAAGGAGGCGGGATGCAGACTACTATCACACAAGAGTTTGGCGTCCTTCTGGCCCGCCATGCCGGGGTAGAACGTAAGATCGCAATCCAGAACCTTGAGAGCGGGCTCGATCCAGGATGTTGAATAAGCGATCTTTGCCAGTGTAAGATGGGTGGATGTGAACATGCTTCCTGTGGGATCGAGTCGCAGTATAGCAGCAGCCAAAGCCTCTACAGTAACCCTTGTCTAGTTTCAGGAAAGTTAGTGCCTTGCGATGCCATGGAGGGGTGGCGCGTACCGTAAACAGCGTGTCTGCTGGTATGCATTCAAGAAGCTTTCGGAAATCAGAGCCCACATATCGTATCTGGAGAGGGTTGAAGTTGAGAAGGAATCGGAGGGTCTCGTCTGAGAGTGTGCTTCGTTCGCTACCCTGTGCGGGGTTCGATGTTTGTAGTGAGAGAAGGAGGATGGCTTGAAATGTGATAGAGTCGATCGATGGGTCAATATTCTGGGACAGTTAGCTAGAATTAACAAAGATACTGTGAGATTTACTTGTAGGATTTGGCTAGCATTGGCACTGATGACTTCCCGTTGGTTCGCAATCAGCGACGTCACAACCGCGACATGGTCCCGAATAGCAGCATCATACTTCTTGACGGAATGGGCGGCGGCCTGAGTTGGCGTGAAGGCAGCTAGAACGGCCGCAACGGTGTCCATCATCAGCTGGGCTCTGAATACTCAGGCTGATTCTCAAATTAGTGGCTGGTTATGTGAGATGTATAGTTTGAATCGATGAAACTGTTACACTGATCATCTCCCTGTCATGCTCGCCAAAAACTCAAAGTGATGACGGAGAACTTTGTATTGTAAGGCCCCGGTCCGTATTGAGGTACGAAGAATCAGATGATATGAAGTTTGTTGTTGCTCTCCAAGCTCACAGACAGGCAGGCAACACTCATGAGCACAGCTCTCGCATTGGAGGGGTGGTGACGTTGTAGGTCCGGGAATTAGCCGACTGAGCTTATCGTCTAGCGAATCTCGATAAGGAGCTGCCCCACACCACCAAAGGTTTACTCTAAACTAGTAGATGGTGGGTTAGGGATAGCTTCATTTATTTGTCTTGCAGTCCGTTATTCATAATTTTGTTCACCAGAGAAGCATGAAAAGTGACGGGGCCGTTACAAGGATGTATCTTAGCTTAGAAGCTGCCAGTTTTTCTCCTACATGCTGCTCTAGCCTGCTTGCGCAAAACACATGTACTAGACCTGACATGGCACAAATACTTGCATAGAGTGGCAAGGTACAGTTTTAATATAAGCACAACAATAGATGCATATTTAACTAATGTCTCACCTAAATCTTGCCTGAGACTGACTCGCATGGCCGCCTCGCTAAAGCCTATGTGACCCCATCGGCATCGGTGTGATTTCTCAAGAAACATGGCAGGCTAATGACAAAAGAAATCAGATATCATTCAGCTATCTACGAAGCAAGCCCCAGCGCAACGTCCCAGAGATTGCCTTTCGGAGATTATACTAAAGATTGAGTTCGTATCTAATATGAAATGATCAAACAGAAAAGAGAGTAATATCTAAGTTGCTGTACAACACATCAATTGGACAGCCTTGGGGACCGAGCTTCAACAAATTTCCAGCAGGTCCTTAAAAACAGAGGAGTCATTCCCATTGCTTGTCTCTAATACATCGACTTGTCGAAAGTCTAGCCGGCATGTTCCTTTTTCTTTGTTTTCGTATAGTAGCTAGCTTGTTTGTCCAACATACAGTTACTAGCGAATATAATGACCAGCTGAGACGGAAGAGCGGCGAGGCGAAGATCCGTTCCAGCCCTGGATTGCTGTCGAGCCCATGAACCATTCGGTCTCTGACCCTGTTAATGAGCGCTTTTCAGATGCCGGAGCAGTAGGCAGCCCCTCGCGAGTCTGAGAGAGGCGATTTTTCTTGCTTGATTTCTGATTTCTCTCCGGGCCAATGGGAGCCAGGACTGTGGCGGTCTGAGGAACACCCTCGTTGCCATCATCTCGCCAGCCAGACTGAAGGATGGCTTGGTTGCTACTGACAGGCAAGTCTCGATTGCGGTGCTTCTGAAGCTCTTCCTGGTGATCTCGCCACCACTTAGGGAACCCATGAAACAGGCCCAGAGATTGCTGCGTGGCCTTGTCGAATGGCATTTCGTGTTTGTATTTGCAGCCCTGCTGAGTAAAGGCGCAGGTGCCGTCGTGGATCCATTTGTCACAATAGATCTTGGTTCTGCGTTGCTGGGTAGGTGATGTTGCTACAATACGATCAATCCTGGTCTATAACACGACGTTAGTCTTGGTCCAGGAAAAGAGAAAAAGCGCAGGAGAGGTTGCGAAATACTGGCAGAGGCTGATTACCTGGAGGATATCAGATGCTGGGCCAGTTGGAGCCTATACACTCAGCATCGTTTACTGTGTGCGCCGTATGTAATCCACGTACCTTGAATGTGACAGGCTGATTCATCCCAGGAACCCCCTGTGGTGGCTGCATGTGCAAGTCGGGAAGCAGTACCATTCCTTGGGCGCTTGTCTGGGTAGCAGGCAGCTCGATGAGGGTTGGGACCATGTCTGCCGGAATCAGTCTTGTGTACAG